CCTGAGTTCATTGAGATCAGCTTTCCTAAAGTCTAGCACTTTCACCCTACTAGTTACCTTACCCACTCGACGTCTTATTGTGAATTCTATTATTAGGTGATCACTGTCCCCCAGATGGCTACTGATCTGTAGGTCCTCTACCATGTCATCCCCCGTTGCCAATACCAGATCCAGTATGGCATTCCCCCTAGTGGGACTGTGTACCTCCTATGTCAGGTGGAGGTCCTGTACACAGGTTAGAAACCTGCGTGAGCGGTGGGATTTTGCTGTCTGTGACTCCCAGCAGATGTCCGGGTAGTTTAGGTCCCCCATGACTACCGCCTCTTTAGCTTTTATGGTCTCCGAGAGTTGCCTCAGGAACCCCGAATCTTTCTTCCCCTTGATGTGGGGGTCTGTAGCAGACCCCTACCACCAAATCCCTTTCTCCTTGCCCCCCATGTAGCCTAACCCACAATCCTTCTACCTCCTCATCCTTGGATTCCGTCTTGATGAGGGTTGACGTATATTGCTCACTGACATAGAGCGCAACCCCTCCCCCTTTCTTCCCCACCCTGTCCTTTCTGTACAATCTATAGCCCTCAATATGTACTGCCCAGTCGTGGGATGAATCCCACCAGGTTTCCGTTAGCCCCACTAAGTCATAGGTGTTTAGTGCAAGCAGGAGCGCTAGTTCATCCTGCTTGTTCCTCATGCTCCTAGCATTAGTATATAGGCACTTGAGCCCTGCGACTGGTGCCTTTGCTGCCCCCCTGCTCCGAGTCCCAAGGGGCCCTTTGTTTAGTCCCAAGGGGCCCTTTGTAGCCCAACAAAGAGTAAGGCCTCTTATTTGCTCAGCATTTGTGCCGCCTTAATGTTTAAGGCGGCACAAATGAGAAATCAGACAATGTCTGTTTCCATCTTCGAAATCTGAAGTATATAGGAAAAAATGGAAAAAGCTTCTCTGGCTAGTATCTGCATTATTTTAGCTCCCATATAGTGGTACATATAATCAGACATTTCCCTTTAGAGCATGCTTCCTTCTGTGATGAGTGGATTTTCATCCTCCTGTGTTCAAAGTATCAGAACATTGCACTGCCTTTTCCAGCCTAAAAATTTGACTTGTATTTCATATGCCTAGATTTTCAAATAAATTCCAAAATTGTGTAAAATTTTTGGTAGTTTTCTTTTGTATAGGTAAGTTTTATATAGGTTTTGGCCAAAAGGCATGTCTTATATTTGTTACTCAGGAAAACTAGCATTTTAAGTTACTGCAATTGTTTTAAGCATTTGAGCACAATGATTTCATGAAGTTACAATATAACGACAAGTCAAGTGGGAGTTAAAATAAGTAATTACAAAAGTACTATTAGAACTGCATTCATCATCCAGGAAACTTCAATAAGTGACTCTCTGAGTAAGTTGGTTACAAGTAAAAGAAACTAAGAGTAGCATCCTTCGACAGCTTGTTTGGAAATTTCTTTTAAAAATAAATATATTTGAGTGAAAAAGGATTAAGCATTTTTAGTTTCTAGTACAGCTGCTTGTGCATCATTTTTGACTTTCTGCCAGTCATGAAAACTTGTATGTATTCAGAGATGAACTAAGATATTACAACACAAATATTATAGTAAAATGAGACCTGACTAAAGTTTAATCTTGACTTGGTAAATTGTTATCACATATAGTGCAAACATGTGGTTTTCCCATTCTTTTCCCCTTCCTCATATAAATTAATGGTGTGTCTGAAAGCAATGGAATCTTGATACATTGTTTGGTTACTTGGTATTGCAGAATTCTGCTAGTTTTCCCATCAGTCTCGTATTATCTTCTCCCTTGTAATGCAGCGCTCGGCAGTATTCACAAGGGAGGAAGATTATAGCTGAATGGAGGGATTTCATTTCGTTTGCTACCAATTTCATGACAGATAATACCTTGCTAGAAAATTATGGGGTCACACAGATTTAGTTCTTATTCATTTCTCACTAATTTAATTGAAGTAACTTTGGGGGCGAGGGGCTTGTTAGCTTTCTAATTTCTTTTCTCATTTTACATTTAGGCTCAATCTGAGCTATAGAATTAAATGCGTTGAGAAATTAGGTTCAGTATTTAAGTTTAGAAGCTTTCTCTCTGCCTATTCATTTATCATCTTTGTTTCTTTATTTTATTCTTATTCTTTGTATCTGAATTTTATCTTAAGAGTGCCTCCAGAGGGATTTTTTAAAAGTTCAAGGCCGTTTTAAAATTTCTTTGCAGTGTATAAAAAAGGCAAGACGGTTGCATATTTTTACAGTTATATTTGTTATATTTGTGTGTGTGTAATATACATACACACAAACACTAGAGAGAACCTGTATTTCTTTGGAATTCTATATATGTTTATGTGTGTATACGCACACTCTATATATAATGTGTGTATACATACTGTATAATACTGTGTGTGTATACTAGATAGAACTTGTATTTTTTTTGAAATGTGTGCGTGCGTGTAATTTAAAAGAAATAAAGGTTCTATCTAGCGTTGAAGACCGACTGAAAAAATTATGATAATGCTGCATGAGCCAAGAGAGTTAAAATTGAATAATTGAGAGGGAAACCCATTTTTAGACAGGTTGCTTAAAACTCCTGTTTTTTTAGTTAGTCGAAATTATATTTGAATAAACTTTCTGAATTAAAACCTCTGTTAAGTTTAGCATCCTTCTCTCTGTTTAAGGTGGTAAAGTTCACAAGAATAAAATCCATCAAAATCTTCCACGGAAGATCAGACTTCACATTTCTGATATTTGATATGCCTTTGAGAGAGAGGAGGGGAAAAAAGTTTTCATACCTTCCTTATTTTTAAGAAAGAAGCAATTCAGATGCATCTCTTAAATATTTATACTGTCTTCTCATTAAAATGTCATGTATTAATAATAGGTTATTCTTAAAAATAACTTGCATATTCTATATATTAATAATAGAAAAGATTGTACTGTGGCACTCAATGTAATCATATAGTAACTTCACATGTCACTCATTACAAGTACCACTGCTTGCTTATTTAAAACTTCCAGGTTGTCTTTTGCATCCATATGTGAGAGGTTTTAGTGAAAATACCAAAAACATTTTTCCTAGTAATTCAGTGAAAGCATGATTATAATATCCACTAATGTTCATAATATTCTGAATTAATTCAGGTAAGCAGGCCCTGATGAGCTTCATCCAGGGTACTAAAGGAACTGGCAGAGGAGATCTCAGAGCCCTTGGCAATAATATCTACCAAGTTGTGAGAGATGGGTGAGGTACCAGAGGACATAGTGAGCCTCTTTTTGCCTTAGGAAAAAGAATGGTGGACCTGGGTAACTCTAGTTCAGTTAGCCTTACCGTGTTACCCAAGAGATTACTGGAGCATATCATAAGGAGGTCCATTTGCAAGCATCTGGAGGAGAAAAGGCCGATCTCAGGCAGCCAGCATGGGTTTACCTTGAACAAATTGTGCTAATCTTCACTTTGGTGGATGTGAAGGGGGAATTCTGTAGATATAGTATATCAGGACTTCAGCAAGGCTTAACAGCCCCACATTAACTTCTTATAAACAAATTGAAGAAATGCATGCTAGACAACACTGTTACAGGGTGAATGGACAACTGGACTAATAGCTACAAACAAAAAGTAATTATAAATGGATCCATGTCAGAATGGCAGGAAGTTTCAAGTGGAGTCCAGAGAGGGGCCTGTCCTGGGCCCAGTGCTGTTCAGCTTTGTTTAATAACTATTTGAATGCTGGAATAGAAAGCTTCTCAAGCAAATGTTCAGACAACGTGAGACTGGGAAGACTTGCAAACACAAACGACAAGTGTGCGTTTTAGAAGAATCGTAACAGATTGGAAAGTTGGGCTGGAGCTAACCAGATGAACTTTGGTGCTGACATGCAGAGTGCTACTACTCAAGAAGAATCAAAAACAAATACAAAACGGGTGAAAACTGGCTGCGTGGCAGCACTGTAGCAAAGGATCCAGGAGTCTTGGTGGATCACATACTTGATATAAGTCAGCATGGAGCTGGGAAGAAACATTTCCCTCCCTTCTGTTGCTACATGTCAGGTTTTTTCTGCCTTCCTCAGAAGGTTTCAGTGTTGGCTACAGTCAGTGCCCCAGTGCTGATGCTCCTGCCAGGACTAAAATCTGGAGGTTATTGGTTAGAGGGTCTTGCCCCTCTTAGGGTCACACCAGTCCACCACATATTTAGTCAGAAAGGAATTTTATCCCATGGTCAGATTGTGGGGGTTTGTGGCAGTGGGGGTTTTGTGGAGATTTTCACTTTCCTTTGTAGGGGGGAACCTTTCCCTCTCCCTTGGATCTCTCAAGTACATTTTAACAACCCTCACAGTAGCAGGACATTGACTGCTGTTGTCCCCCTGCTTTACCAATGGTGTTAAGGTGCTATGCCTTGTGGTTGTGTGACAGGGTTGATTTGTTTAGTTCGTTAGCAGTAGATTAGAGAAGTATTTACATGGGATAGGAATGAGCCTGCCTCAGGCAGAAGGTCGGACCATGTGACCTCCAGAGGTCCCTTCCAGCCTTATTTTCCTATGATTCAATGTATAACAATTTGGAGGCAGGCCTATAGAAATGTCACTGAAATTATTTTTGGGGGAGCTAGAAATGAAAAGCGGTCAGCTTCAGCAAGTAAAACTTGCTGTGACACTTATGTTTTCCATCGCTTCAGTGAAGAACACTACTTACAGAAGTGATTGGTTTTACCTAGTTTATTGAGGTCCAGACTCTTTGGCACTCATGTAATATTAGCGACATTGGTAATTTCCTATATTTGATAGTTACAGTTGTAGCTTGTTCATTTTAGCTTTCATTTCATTTTCAGGAGACCCGTCTTACAGATGATATTGGAATATCAACTTGGACAGAACAGATTTTCCTATCCCATAGTGCCTTGCTGGCAAAGAGCTGTAAGGCTGCAATGGAATTGGCAAAGCATGATGCAGAGATCCAGAAGATGGCATTTCACTATGGAAAGCACATGTCTATGAGTCATAAGGTATGCCCTTTCTCCTTTCAGTATTTTAAATACTGAAACAGTTCATGAGAATTTTCTCTAACGTCTCTGATTCTCACTTCTGTTTGGTCTTCTTTATCTCAGACCAGACGACACTACTGACCTTTATCTAGCAGGTCAGGGTTGCAAAAGATTTTGTTTCACTTGGGCAAGGAGGGTGGTTTTACTACATTTGTCAAAAGCAAGCTTTGCTGGTATAACCATTCACACTAAGGGAAGACTGCCAAGGTAATTTACTAGTGGTATCCTACACCAGTAAAACACTGCTAGTGTAGTTACAGAGCATTAATGTTTTGCAAATGCTTTAAAATTAATTAATTCATAATTATTTGATGTAAACAGTGTGTATAACGATCTGATTTTTATGCAATCACTGTTTATAAAATATTCAGTATGTCAGAAATGAAATATTGCATCAGCTCCAGGAAAACAGAATATATGCTTCTACCATCCACAGCTGTGAAACACAGCATCCTTCCCATGACTGCTCACTTTCTTATACCAACAACCCTCTTTTCACCAGCTACTCCCAATTGTTCCAGCCCCATTCCCCACTAGAGCAAACCCTCCTTTTGTCTGTTTGTCTCTGTAGCCTCTGAACAACCCCATTCCTCTCCACCGTGGAGCTAAAAGTCAGGGGATGGAGGTGAAGTACATCCATCAAAACTGCAGGCAACAGTTTAGGAATAGGGCTGGTGACTTGGAATTGGAACTGGCTGATGGGCTACGTGGTCCTGGGGCTCTCTGTTAATTCAACAAAAATGTTTTGATCCTCCCTTCTAGATACACCTGGACCTTCAGCCATTTATTAAAGGAAATTCTACTGACTCTGTGACCTTCAGTTTAAATTCTGCTCCTGCAGTCCTGCATCAGGAGTTCCTTGGAAGGGAGGCATGGATTAAGCAGATTAGAGAGGTAATTATACATTTCAGTTTTTCCATACATTTTAATTTTATCATTCATTTTCTTCCAGGCTCTGGAAGGTTACAGCTTATCAGTGTTGCATATGTCTCTTCATAGAGATAATCTTGTAATGCGTAGGTAAAGGTCATATATACAAACAAAACTGCCCTCCCCAGCCCTTCATTGTGTTTATTTGCCTCCCTTTGAAGATACTCTCAGCTCTTTGAATGCGGCCCTCTCTTTCCTTCTAGTAATTCCTTAACAGGGTAAGGTAATGGGAGAAGATGACTGTACTGCTTACTTCCATGTGTTTGTATTATGTAGCACAGTAGGGTTGGGGTTCATGAATGGATTTTCTATATGCTACTGCAGTATATGTTAGTAATGATGCAAGAAGGCCACACAAAAGACCAAGACTAAGTATATAATGTAGTGACTCTACCTCAGTACCTCAGTCAGGCAGATTCCTCTTATCTAAACAGTCTTAGGAAACATACTTAGGAGCTCCTCCTTTAGTTGCGTGGGTACCTCCGGTAGGAAGATTTTTGGTAATGAATGATGTCTTGTGGTGGAAACATTTTATTGCTGTTGATTAGGAAGGATTATTCTCACTGACATCCTGCCACACTTTTAGCTTCTCTCTTTTCGTGGAGTCTCAGAACAGCAGAGACTGCTATTGCCTGAAGAAGGGTGACTGCGCCCAAAAGCTTGCTAAGAACTTAATTCCAACTACTCAGTTGGTCTAATAAAAGATGTCACATCTACTCAAAGAACCTTGCCTGCCTGTCTCCTATACTTTGTTCTCCTTTGTGATGACTTCTTGGTGTCTGTAAATGGAATGATCTATGGACACAGAAATGAAGTAAAATTGTACACAAATTAGTCCTGAGAGGCAATTCAAGAGATGAGAGAGAGCCCTGCCATAAATTTAAAAGCAAGTTCCATGTAGAAATTTTCACTCAAAATGGGATCTCTACTGCTATCTATTCTGCTCCCTAACATAAAGGCAGTACTGTAGGACATAGGCCAAGGAGATAGGGGTTATGGGTATTGCATGCATGACTCTGGTTCAGAGTTTGCCTTCATATGTTTCTGGCAAAAGTTATCATCCCAGTAAAGAGGAATGTCAGACAGTCTCATAAGAGAATGTAACCTTGCTTTAGTGAAGGAAGAAATGTATTACTATATTTTCTTGTATATAAACTGCACCCCTGCCCTTAAGTCAGCTGGGGAAAAGTGGAGTGCGCATTATGCAAAGAAAAGGGTACCAATGAGTCCGGAAAACTGGGGGAGAGGGCCAACTGCTTTGGCTCTGGGAGCCACAGAAATTAATGCTGCCACTGTTCCCTCCTTCCCTCTCTACTCACTGCTGCAAATGTCCAAACCCCTGGGGAGCTTCCCTCTCCAGCTACACACCAGATCAGGACAGTGCATGGGGCTCCAGAGCCAGCTAATAGCCCCACCGCTGAGCCCCTGTGCCAGCATGCCATATCAGCCCTGCCACATTAGTCCCAAAGTCAGTGTGCTGGATCAAGCCCTGGCACATGGGCCCCAAGCCCTGGACACATTAGATCTCTAGTGCTTACCCATAATAAGATTTCTTTTTCCTTCTTGGGGCCTTCCAAAGATAGGGTGTGTGTTTATATTTGGGGGTGTGTTATGTGCAAGAAATACAGTATTTCTAACCAAGTTTTAAAATCAGAGAATGGTAACACAGCAAATGGCCGACTAAAGAATCTTGAACTTCTCTAACTTCAGCACAAGAGTAGTAAATGTTTTGAGTGCATAAGGATTGGATGAATGTTTGAGAAGCTTTCATAGATTGTGTTGGGATCCTGCCATCCTCTTCTAATTTCAATTTCTCTTATGCAGAATCCAAAATAGGTTGCAGAATTTCAGCACTGTTGTCTGTCCACTTGATAATTCTTTTTACATCAAAAGTGACATTGTAGAAACACTACAGAAATTCTAACTAAAAGAAAACGGAGTAGTGTTGTTGTTTTTTTTTCAGGCAAGCAGTTTGTATTTCTACTAGGTGCCATTATACCAAAATACCAAATGGAAGATCTTCTCAAGCAGGGATCAACAAACTATGGCTTGCTAGATCCAGCCTGTAAAGAGATTGGATCCAGCCTGCAGTAGTCTCCTGCAGCCAGTGGAGCACCTGGGGGCTCATGGGAGTTGCATCCCAGTGTCCCCAGTTTCCTTTTGTAGGCATCATGGCAAAGGAGAATTTTAAAGAGGGATCTGAAGGATGACAATGAAGATCAGCTCTTTCTCCTTCTCTCTATAATTAAAAATTAATCCAGTTATCTTCAATTTTCTTTCTCTTCCTGCTTCTCTTTCACTTTAATCTCTCCTCCGTTTATTGACAGGCTGACTTTTTTTTCTCTCCTTTTCCCTCCCTTCTACAAAAATTAGCCCTTTTTTCCAAACCTGTGGACTCTTAGCAGTGTTTCTTCAAAAGTGTAGTCACCACTTCTGTTTCCCCAATTCAGCACTCAATTCTTCTCCTTAGACAGTTACCATACTTGTCCTTTTGGCTGCTCTGTCTGTAGCAGCAATCTGCTCCCTGGAGTAGTCTGTGAGGGAGTGATTCTATTGTACATCCTTTGGGTAGGAGGAAGAATTCCAGGACTCCTGGGGCTTGTGGCCTTGCCTAGGCTAGGCTAAAGGCCAGGAAATCTTTCCTTTATATTCCTGAGGTAGGAACTGTTAGTGGCATAGTGTGGTTAATGATAATGCTGAGTTTAAGTATGGGAAGAAGTTTCAGGGTGGGTGACCAGGAGTGTTCTGGGTCTGGCATTAGTAGTCATTGACCAAGAAAAAAATAGGCAAAAAACACTTGTTGAATATAAAAAATGTACACAAAATGCACACACTTTTCTATGTAACCTTGGGACAAAATTCAGGGTGTTTTGCATTCTAGTATGTCTTGCCTTCGCTCTGTTTGTTTTTTCTTCGGATACACACAATGTTCTTCTGAAGATGTAAGAAAGCAAGGTTTTGTTATGTTTTAATAACTGGTTGCATATACATGATGCAGGCAGGGAGGGAAATGATGACTCTGTATGTGCACATGTCATTCCAAACCAAAACACAGCTGGTTAGGTCTAAATCTGAGGTTTGCCAGCTTTGACATTCTCATTGGCATAATCTCTTTAAAAGAAGTCTATAAATTTCCTCTCTATACCCACAAAAGCTGTTACTGTATGGGCTTAGTTCTCTCTCTCTTGAAACTATTATTGATTTTGTTTGTTAGCTCTAATTCCTTTGTTAGTTGACTGAAGTAAGCTTGTACCCAGGGTGTCCAATTTTCAGTCTGTTTCAGCAACAGATTTTTTTGTAAGATATTACTATTTTAAAATATTTTAGGCACTCAGAGATACAGCTGCTTTCTTTAGAGATCTCTGTGCTGAGACTGTCAGCTGGTAAAATTCAGGTTCTAGACCAAGTTGATTGTTTTTAAAATACTATTTCAAATATACCATTCATTCTTAAATTTTTTTATTTCCACAGGAGTGATCTAGAATAGATGCCATTTTACATTTAATCTTTCTTTTTTATGTCTTAAGGCACAAGGTGCAGGGAGTATATTGGACTACACGAAGGTAGGTAAATTACAGTAAGGCTTCTTATATTTGTTCTCTATTTTTTTTTTTCAGGTAGTTGAGATTCTTCTTCTTTATTATAGTCAAATATTTATCTGAGACATTTTAAGTTTTATAACAATCTCCTCACTTGGGAGCTGTTATCAGATTAGATCACTGATCTATCTAGTCCTGTTTCTTTCTGTGATAGTACCAATAGTATGCCTTGGTATTCCAAATGAATGTCTTCATATAGGGAACAAATTATATTAAACTTTTACACTAAGGATATGAACAAAGTAAGGAAGGATGTTAATTTGTAGAGTGCTAACCACTTTGTGGTAAATGCCTGTTTTCATGGTAAATATGAGGCATCTTATCCTGCTCCTTCAGGGGTAAACTACCTTGCATTAACCATGGGGTAGGAACATATACCTGGGCAGTTGCCACATAGTGGCTATTGTGCTGTCAGTTTGCCCCCTATGATATAATTTTGTAGAAATTTGCTGATACAGCTGTGCCTTAAGTATCATATTTAGTCCCCCTCAATTACAGTTACCTTCATTTCTCATCCTGTACTTCAGTGGAAGTTCCAAACTTTTCATTCCTGAATATATTAGATTAGGAGTTTATGGAGACAAAATGAGATTGTATACACTGTTATTTGGTGTTAGCCCTATGGGTCATCCTCAGCTGGCTTGAGCTTCATGAACTGCTTCTTCTAGTCTGTATCCTACCTTGCACCAGCTGCATGTTGTTTTCTGTTCCTTGAACCTAGCCCTTCCAGGGATCAGTCTGTGCCCACTACTTCTCTTCCCTGCTGCGATTGGCTCTGATTGTGGTCAGTGAAGACAAGAAGTAGGATTTATAAAAGGGCCAGAATCAGGGGTGACTGGTGCTTCCTGAGTCCGGTGCGGGGGGGAGGGGGGCACAATTTGGGGGCAGGCCAAAAGCCCCATATCTACCCCTAAATTTCTGTGCTGTGGCTTAGTGCTCCCCCCCATGTACCCCCAACACACCACTGGCCTGTGCAGCAAAAAAAAAACTGCCCCATCCTGAGTGGTGCTGAGTCAGGGCCAGTCAGGTGGGGGGGGCACATGCCCCCCCATACCCCGCCTACCAGTCACCTGTGGCCAGAATCAAGAAACAGGAAGTTGTGAAATTGCTGTTGCTTGACTCTAGCTGTCAGGGTCAGCACAGCCAGCTACAATGGGAAATTGGGAATTTAAGGGTTAAGCACAGTTCCAGATTAAGAAGAGAGGAGTTACTTTTAAGAGTATAGTTTTTCCCTGTTTAAAATTGCTTTTAAAGTTTCAAATACTTAAATGCTTCTTTTTCCTTTGTACCTCAGCCTTGTATTACTTGGTATGCACATTGACTGACAACATGGCTATATGTTGTTATAAGAACATGCATACACATTTCATGTCTGCACTGAAGAATCATAAAATATTAACTCCTTGGTCAGTAATGGCTTAGATTAAATTTGATTAAGTGATAAAATGAAAAAATCCATCTCTCTCCCTATCAATCTTAAAGCATAAAAGAAACTGATAACATTTAGTCATAACTAGATCATGAGAATCCTGCTGTTCACATCTAGGAAATACTTCTCAAACATTTACCTGTGAAGAAATACTGTTGTTGGTTTTTTTTTTAATTTCCATTTGTATGTCGTTAGAATGTGAATGGCTTTACTGCTTAAGACTGATTGCTCCTAGAACTGATAGGAAATTAGCAAGCTCATGAAAACTTTAGTTTACTACAACTATTGTGTAAATAAATACATTGGTATTCCTTAATAAAGCCTTGAAATTTTCCTGTACTTTGACCAGCCGAAGATTAGACTCTCTCTCTTGGTTACTATTACTTAAAATTAGGGTTGGGTATTTGACTGGTCAGTTGATTCTGTCTGGTCTGTGGTGGTCCCTTAGCCCCACCCAGCACAGGCATGGAGGGCAGCCCAGGCCATGATGCATGTGTGCAGCTGAACCTGTTGCCCCCAGGCATGCAGCCGGGTGGGGCCAGTGCAGCGGCCGGACTTGGCTTCCTGGCAGCCCCCGCAGTGGTGACTAACTCGGCTGCTGCTGCCAGTGTCTCTGCCTCTAGACCCACTGCCCAGGTACCCCAGCCTGTCTACCCCACACCCACCGTCAGGGATGCTGGACGGAGTGCACACGTGGGTGGAGTCTCTATGGAGACCAGCCCAGGACCCCCATGGGCAGGGCATGCTCAGCCAAGCAAATAGGACGGGGCTGCGGGTGGGTGGGAAGTGGCATCTGGGAGCAGGACAGACAGGTGAGGTCAAAATTGAGATCGGTTCCACTGCCCCGCAGTCCCTGTGCTTGTTGCAGGGAAATTCAGGGAGTGGATCACAGCTTGATCCCAGGCCCCGGCCTCATGCTGTCACCACCCTGCAATCCCATCCCTGCATGCCTGTCCTACTCCTGAACACCGCTTCTGCACAGCTGAGCACGCCCTGCCTGCAGGAGTCTTGGATTGGTCTCCATGGAGATCCCACCCACTTGCTCTGTCTGGTGCCTCCGGCAGTGGACGGAGGGTGGGTGGATGGTCCTGGGGCTGGATAGAATCAATTGCTCTCCTCCTCCCCCAGCCATATTACTGCAGAAATAAATGGCCAAGAACATAAAGTTTGCCATACTGTTTCAAATGGTTTTAACTATATTCCAGCGTTTTGATTTCAGCAATTGCAAATGCCTAATGCTTCCAAGGAAAGTGAAGAAACCTGTAATGCATCTAGTCAAATAACAATATCCCTTTGAGTAGGAGGAAAAGGAAATTCCTTCTTCAATCTTAAATTTTCAGGTGCTTGCTTTAACCTGGAGGCATGAGATTTGATTAGTCTTGTGTTAACATGGCATGCATAGCTGCAGATGTTACAAATGCAGTAGTGATAATGAAATTATCCAATAGTTTTGTAAATCCAACCATAATATATGACTCAATATATGACTCACTGCAACAATGAATTTCAGAGTTGACTATTTACAGTACAAAATTGTACATTGTTTTCCTCTTTATTGCTCTTAGGTTTGTTAATCTGTTTTCATATTATTGGACTTAGGAAAAGCAAGGACTTGCATTGCTTAAGCTTATTTTAGTTCACTCAAAACCTGTCTCCTCTGAGTTTGAATAATCTTAGCTTTTGAAATCTCATCACCAGGTATCCTGTCTTTCTCTGTTTAAAAATCACAAATTCTCTGATTTAAAGGGGAAAAATTCCAAAATTTTCTGATAACCCCCCCCCCACAAAATCCAGGTTTTTCCATGATTAAAATGAAATGACACTATATAGATAGGTATCAATTGAACACAATGTTTTATTGATATATTTACAATTTTAAAGCAAATAGCAGTGCCTCAATCATTATAATAAAATACATTCTAAATACCTGTATATTTTGACGTTTGGCATTTTTGTTTTTTAATCATGAAAAATCAGAGCTCCCTCTGCCCCCTTTGCTCACCAGGATGTGGGTCCAGCTGCAGCTGTCGCCACCCCCTGCACTGCTTTATGGTGCTGAGCAGCCCTGATATGCTGGTGCCCATGCCTTGCCCCTACCAGTTCACTCCCAACCTGCTGCCCCCTGCCCCCACTCCTCTAGTGTGTGGGGAATGGGGTGGGGGTGTGAGGAGGAGGGAGGTGCACAGGTGACATGGTGCTCCCCCAAGATTTCTGCACCCACAGTGGGGCTGCAGGCAGACTAAACCAGCTCCGGGTAGGAGCCACCTCCACAGCCCAGCAGGTGGGACCTAGTGTATGAGGGAGTGCTGCACCACCATGGTCGCCAAGGTGAGGCACCCCCTGGCCACCTGGCAGTGGTGGGGTCACAACTCCATGCCACCACTTCTGCTGTGCTTCACCATGGCAGCGTGATGCATCCTTCCCGCACCTGGTCCTGCCTGCTGGGCTTTGGAGTTGACTCCTCCAGAGCTTGTCCGTCCTGGCTATAGCCTGCACCCTACTGTGGGCCCAGAAATCTTGGGGGCCCAGCTGCAGCCCATGCCCCACTGTGGGTGCAGAATACCCCCTTACCCTGCAGCATCATCTTGCCCTCCCTGCCACATTGTCTGTGCTCCCCCGACCTCCTGGCTTTCCTCCTCTCCCCCTTAATGTGTCACCACTGCCCTTCCTCACCCCCATATGCTTACCTGGAGGGAGCTGTGGGAGCTTCTCTTCACTGCTGCCTGGCTGCCACATGCATGTGTGAGCCTGCAAAGGGGAAACCTGTGGCTTCCTGCATTTTTCTCCTTTAAAGGAGAAAATCCGTTATTTTTTTTTCCATTAAAAGGAGGAAATCCGCATTTTTCCACAGCAAATGGAAAACCCAGTTCTGTCGCATCATATGGTGAGCCCCATCATAGATTTTATTTATATTTGTTAGTGTCCTCTTCAGTCTTTCATATGTCTTTCTAAGGGGAGGGTTGTCTGTATTGGCCGTAGTGTGTACAAAAGGGTGCATCATTTTAGTGTCAGTTTCCCTTTTAACGCACTCAGTATCCTATTTGTTTTTTGATAGAAGGAATAATCCTTTCTGATTTTATTCCTATGATCTGTTTATTCTGTTTGCTTAGTAGCCCTCTGAAGAATATTCACATGATTTTCAAATAGAAATAATGAATGAAGGTAAAATTGAGATCCACCCACTCACCATGCCTATTTTTGTTAGGAAGTGGTTTTTTTTTACATGGCATAGAACAGCCTACATATTTTTTTTTATTCTTGTTTATACATGAATTTTGGTTTGCAGTTTTGATGCATGATGTATTAAAATGGTATCTTTAAGTCTGTGCTGACCAAAGGAGAATCCAAGGGATGCTAGTAAATGAGGTCAGGGCTTTGACCTGGATGTGGAAGGGAAATGCTTTTCATTAATTTAATTGGGTCCAAGTCCTTCATTCCAATGAGCTCATTGTGTTCTGCAAAATTGTTCTTTTCCCCCAATGTATCAATCTTGTTAGCACAAGGACTTTGATATTTCAGAAAGCTTATTTAAGGT